TGTAAGTCTTTGTCCATTTTATTATAACACATTACATTGTCTTTTTTAACTGCCTTCTTATATCTTCTGTTCAGCTCTTTTACTTCATCATTTCCTCCATTTCCTTTAGCTACTCTATGCTCAAGAGCAAGTTTCAGAGCTTTTTGACATCTATTTTGGTCTTTTCTTTCTTTCCTATCTTTTTAGTGACCTTTTGCTTTCTTTATGCATGATCTTCTTGATGTCATTCCACAACTCAACTGGTATTCAGTAATTGAAGTCCAGTGGGTAAAATCTGTTCTTGAGCTGGTCTCTACATTCAGGTAGAATATATTCAAGGTCTTGTTTTGACTTTTGTGGACTTGTTTTAATTTTCTTCAGATTCAGCCTGAACTTGCATAGGAGTCACTGATGACCTGTTCCACAGTTGGCCCTTGGCCTTATTCTGACTGGTGATATTGAACTTCTCCATCTTTTCTTTCCATAAATGTAGTTGATCTGATTTCCTTGTAGTACCTCTGGTAAAGTCCAAGTATATAATCACTATTTACATTGTTGAAAAAAAGATATTTGCAGAATTCTATCATATGATCTCTAACATTGTTTCTATTACCAAGGTCGTATTTTCAAACTACTGATCCTTTTTTTGTTTACAATTTTCCCATTGTAATTATCAACACATCTTGATTGCATGTTTGATCAATTTTGGATTGCAGGAAATGGGCAAAACTTCAATGTCTTCATTTTGTCTTTAGTAGTTGGTGCACGTATTTGAATAGTAGTATTAATGGTCTTTGTATACATATGGATATTATCACTGACAGCATTGTACTTCAGGATTGATCTTGAAATGTTCTTTTTGATAAAGAATGTGACACAGTTTCTCTTCAATTTGTCATTTTCAACTTAGTAGACAACATGATTGTCTGATTCAGAATCACCAATACCTTTCAGGTTACTAATGTTTAGAATATTGGTCTTTATGTGTTATATTTAATTTTTGATGAATTCCAACTTTCCTAGATTTATACTTTGTACTTCCTACATTCTGATTGCATCTACTTCTTCTCATTTTGAGTCATGCCACATCAGCAAATGAGGGTTCCAAAAGTGTTACTACATCCACATCATCAAGATTGACTCTATTTTAAGGAGGTAGCTCTTCCCCAGTCTTATTTTGAGTGTCTTCCAACCTGAGGAGATGATTTTCTGACACTCTATAAATATTAGACAGTGCTCTACTATTTATCTGATTTTCAGTTGCCAGTGGTTTTTTTTCAGAATTAGACTGTTGCATCCTTTTTCCAAATCCATCATAGTCTGAGTTCCACTGAATGTGACTACCATGGATGACCCTTCTGGATGACCCTTCCTGCATCATAGCAACATATACACCACCACATTAAGACAAACTGACAGATGACTGGTAGCTTCTTTCTTATGGATATTTATAACTTTTCGTGGGCTTTACTTGTTCTACTTAAAACTGAATAAAATTCTCTTCAGAATAATTTGTGAAAGATTATGAGAAAGGCATAATATTACAATAAAATACAAAGTAAAACTTCACTTTTTTTAAAAGCATTATTTAAAGAAGACTAAATGATTGGTTGTTGTTGTTAGCTACCATTGAGTTGGTGAGCCTTGGTTTTCCATTAAACAGTAATAGACAATCCGGGGCAATCCCTATGTTATTAGTAGTAATTGTATAACTATTGTTATTTCTACAGAGGAGTCCAGTAACTGCTGTGCCTGGGAAGGGTCAAGGTGCGATGGAGGATAAACTAAGTCACAGGGATTCAGAGCATATGTGGCTAATGTGGAAAAAGGGGCAGCAAGTGAGGACTTGTCTTTCTTTAATTTTAGCATTCTTGGAATGAAGAAATAAGATAAACATTTAGGGGTCATCAGGATCAAGAACTTTTTGCTTTTTAGAATGAAAATTTGTTGTTGTTGTTACTGTTGTTTGGTGCTACTGAGGTGATTTCAAGTCAGTAACCCCAAATGCTAGAGGAGAACTGACCCATAAAGTTGCAATCTTTACAGAAACACATAACCAGCTCTTTCTTCTGCAGAGTCCCTCTAAGGATTTGAACCACCAACCTTTTGTTCTGTACCCAAGCACTTAATCATTTGCACCACCAGGTAACTGAGCTTATTTGTAGACAGATAAAAGGAGTCCAAGGAGAGGGATAAAATGAAGATGCAATAAAACCCCTTTGTACTGTGTTAATTCCTATTTATTGTGACCCACCCTATAAGGACAGGGTCAAACTGCCCATATGGTTTCTAAGGCTATAATCATTATGGAAGCAGGCTGTCACATTTTTTCTCTACAGAACAATTGGTAAATGAGAACTTCCAACCTTTACATTAGTAGA